GTTAGTATTACTTTAATATTGGTGCATATTGGGCTTCTACATCACTCTGAGAAGCCTATGTCATTCAGAACCCAGCAAGAAGGATAATCTTGTGTTTGAATGAAGACATTTTAACAATAATATCTGAATCCTATAGATATGTTGAGCATAGCATGCATGGCAAACTTAAATTATTTGATAGCAATATAACTATCGTGAGAGAAATAGCCTTTATTTGGATTATTGCGATGAAGGAATTTCAAGCTTAGACAATGATGAAATTCATATCTGAAATTTGCCTAGGAGATACTTATATGGTTAGAGTTAAATCTTCTCCAACATTAACATTATCCTTGCTTCCTTGTGATGCTTTCTGTATGAAATATCAACAGTATAGGGCTGCTGAATTGTTATAATACGACAAAATGGCTATAACTTCATGCAGTAGCAAGGCTGTCATCCAAAGGGTCCAAATATATCAGGATGCACATCATGCTGAGTGATACTCTTACCAGGGAACAAAAATGGGTGCCTCCACTGGCTACCCAGATGATTTTTCAGATTCTGATAGTCTATATGTCATCTTTATTCAAAAAAAGCACCTCTTTCTCTGCCTTTTTCATACTGAAGATTTCATCTTACATTCTCTCCTAAAGTCTCTCACTCAGAGGATGGTTTTCCTACAACACTCATATCCTTTAGAGATTATCAAAATAGACATGGCCCTTTAAGAACTACAGTCTGCATTAAGTGTGTGGGGGGGGGGATGAGGAGAGGAGACTATTACAAAAGCCTTCCAAAGACTCAAGTATCTGAGGAGCATTGCTGGAATAGCATCTTCACTAGCCAAGAGTGTAATTCCTAATAATATGATTTTTTACTTAATACAGCACAGAATGAACCTTAGACAAACCAGGACAGCAGAATGATTTCCCACATTGCTAGTTCCAAGCTCTTGAATGCTTCAAAAATCAGTCACTTTTAATATAATCAGACATCTTAAGCTTCCTTTCAACTTAAAACACTGATTAGATACCAGCCCTAACAATTGATGAAGTCAATCTTTAGGAATGACTTTTGCTCCATAAAAATATAACAGGATTCAGATCAAATGCTTGCCAGTACTGTAAACTCTGTGTATTCCTTTAAGTCATCATTGACTTCTGGTGACTGCATGGACAAATCTCTGCAGGGTTTTTTTGGCAAATTTTTAGAAGTAGTTTGTCATTGCTTTCTTCCCAGGGCCGAAAGAGAAGGACTGCGAGAAGATCTGTGTTTAAAAGGGGGGACTAGAAATCATAATCTCTTGTTTTTTAGTCTTGATGCCTTAACACTACACCAAACTGGCTTTTTACTCATAGCTTGTCCCTAGTAATTAATTATTCATTAATCACTCTGAGCCACAATGGCTATATAGGGCTTTGTGCCATTCTATATTATTTCATTGAAATCTTAGGAGCAAAAGGCAACTGGCTTTAAAATTACCTTTTATCTGGAGGCACTTCATTGAGCTCGGATAGGAGCTAGATATTGAATGAAAGCAAGTAAAGAGTTCGATCCAGTATGACTTATTTTAGTTATGTTTAGCTAGATTTAAAAAAATATATATTGTTCTAGACATTGTTAATCCACTATAGGATGATGTAGTGCATGTTTCCAACCAATACGGTCTGGAGCTTTCTTTTGCCAATTGGGTCCACAATACTTGCTGATGTGGTCAATCCATCTCGTTTTAGATCTCTTGTGGAGAGTTTTTATCAAGTGGAATCAGTGGTGGGTTTCAAAATTTTTTACTACCGGTTCTGCGGGTGTGACTTGGTGGGCGTGGCATGGCTTGGTGGGCATGGCAGGGGAAGGATACTGTAAAATCTCCATTCCCACCCCAATCCAGGGGAAGGTTACTGCAAAATCCCCATTTCCTCCCAGTCACCTGGGACTTGGGAGGCAGAGAATAGATGGGAGCAGGGCTAATCAGAATTTTTACTACCGGTTCTCCAAACTACTCAAAATTTCCACTACCGGTTCTCCAGAACTGGTCAGAACCTGCTGAAACCCACTTCTGAGTAGAACCCATTCTACGACTGCCTTAGTCCACCTGCCATGAGTTCTTACATTCTTTTTAAATGTATTTGGCAATTTTTCTTCCATAGAAAAGTAGTCACAATGCTGCCTTTATCATGGTTTCCTTTGTTTGAAGAATTACCTAATGTGGCTAGATAGATAGATAGATAGATAGATAGATAGATAGATAGATAGATAGATAGATAGATAGATAGATAGATAGATAATAACAACAAAGGAAAACAAGAACTGTAGGATGTTTCATATAAGATTGAAATATACAGATGTCTAGAAGTAAGACCAGAAATATTGATACACCTATTTTCTAAGGGCCCAAGTAAAGGGGAACGGTGGAGAGAATTCTAATCCATTTTTTTCCTTCCCTTCTTGCAGTTTAACATTATGTTGTTTTTTTTAAATCCACAGTTTCTTCTCCTTTTCTTGAATCCTCTGGAACAGCCTTTAGGATTGATTGGCTCACAGAACTAAATGGCATTTAACAACTTTATGTATTTAGAAACCGATTTAATTACCTGTTTCTAATGAGCAATCTGGCACCTTCCTTCAAATTAGCTGGGTATTTCCATCACCTTGCAACATTAGACTCTGCAGAAACCTGCATAGTAAAGAAGAGGTCACATGACGAGAGTGTACTTGCTGAATTAAAAAAAAAAACATTAGAAGCATATAAACCATCATTTGTTATGAGCAATAACACTTACTGTAAGTCAGTTTGATGCTTCTACATGCATATTATCATTTGAGTAAAACAAAGCATCTGAGGTACTAGTATGACTTGCCCAAGATCTATATATTCAGCCCATGGTCAGATCAAGCTAACGTTATCTGTCATTTGGCAACTCTTCCAATTTCACCTGAACTGCTGTTATAGTATGTAATAAGTTTAGTTACTTTTTTCTTCAATGAAAACCTTGCTTCCTTTTACACATGGATGTTTCTGCATTGAATTACAGCATCAGACACTCCATAACTGCAGCCTTCTCCAGCCAAGAGCTGCAAGAGCAAAGCTGCACCACTCCTGTAACCTTACTGATTTAAAACAAAATTGTAAGTTTGCTGTTTTGTCTTCTCAAGTCAGGCTCCTCTTTCATTTTAAAATGGTGTTTGTGGTGTTTACACTAATAGCCTGTGAACCAGTGGTGGGATTCAAATAATGTAACAACCGGTTCTCTGCCCTAATGATTTCTTCCAAAAAACTGCTCAGAAAGTTAACAACTGGTTCTCCCAAAGTGGTGCGAACTGGCTGAATCCCACCATTGCTATGAACAATGGCTTTTATGGCGGTACACATATTCTGAGATTAATGTGCAAGCTGTCACACCTTCAATTTATTCCAGAGGTGGTATTCAGCAGGTTCTGACCAGTTCTGGAGAATCGATAGTGGAAGTTTTGAGTAGTTTGGAGAACTGGCAAATATCACTTCTGACTATTTCTATTCTCTGCCTCCCTGGAGTGGGGTGGGAATGGAGATTTTACAGTATCCTTCCCCTGCCATGACCACCAAGCCATGCCCTCAGAACCAGTAGTGAATCCCACCACTGATTTATTCTCTCTGGATTCTACGGTATTTCTTTTCTCACATTTTATCTCTTCTTCTCCCCATTTTGTGATATTTCTGAGCTAAAGATTTTGTCACCTCCCCACATCAGAAGCTGTGCCTGGTGCTCATGCCTTTAAACTAGAACAGGCTGCCAAGACAGATGCAGAAGGGGTTGACAAGAGGGAATGAGATTCACTGAATCTGCCTGACAAAATTCACATGGTAGGTCTAAGCACATGGCATTCCTTTATTAAGCTCTTTATCCTTACCTTTAAACTCCACATGTGGCTCTTTTTCCTCCCATGACCCTTATTTCACCACTTTCCATCAGCTGAAGACCTCCTGCTCTCTCACAGTCAATTTCTTTACCTTTTCATGTTTGTTATCCCAATAGTTTTAGAACTCCCACTCAGCATCTATGATGTTTCTTCCATACAGTCACTTCTTATAACAATATTTTCCCCCAAAGCTTTGATATATCCCCCTTGTTCCCATGCCAAGTTTTGAATGAAAGCAATGGTTTATTCTTTCTCTTTGTACTCTTACTCTGATTGATTTTCTGGTTATTTCTGTGACACTTAAATGGTAAATTCTTCAAAAGAAAACATGTCCTTTTCATCTGTTTTCCTACTCTGTGTACTGAAATCAGAAATATATTGGGGAAACTATTTATTTATTTATTTGATTTCTATAGATGCTCAATAAGTGACTCTGGGTGGCATGCATCATAACAGTAGTGGGATTCAGCTGGTTCTGTCCAGATCGCACAAACTGGTAGCGGCGACTGTGGGAGGCTCCACCCACCCGCCCGGAAGTAATGCGCAACTACTGCGCATGTGCGCGCGCTCACATTTGAAAACCGGTAGAGAAATTAAGTGAATCCCACCTCTGATCATAAATATTGCCTTTTAGAGCTCAGGGTTACTGAGAATTCATGGATGCTGCAAAAAAATTCAAATCATTTTCCTACTAATTATTAACTCCATGTTCTGTCATTACAAAATACAATTTATGCCTCCTTTTCTAACAGGCTTTTGAGAATTAAACATACATACACAACACTTTACTTGGGGAAAATGTGCTGTGCTGTGATTCAAGAGCTTGTATGCATCCAGTAAGTATATTGATTTTTTTTCCCCCTTTCATATCCTTTTTGTGCCAGAAATTACTTTGGAAATTATTTATGGGAGAAACTGCTGAGCAGTTGAGAAGCCAGAATATTATTCTGGACCAAGCAACACACACACACACACACACACAGAGAGAGAGAGAGAGAGAGAGAGAGAGAGAGAGAGAGAGAGAGAGAGAGAGAGAGAGAGAGAGAGAGGGGGAGACTTTTCTTTTATGGGGGCACACATTACATTCTGCCTTTCCTATGAAGGCTTCTTGATAGGTTAATAGGGTGTTTTTTTATTTTGTAGTCATGTCTTGGAAGAACACTAGAGTGGTAAGTACAACATTATATGTGAAGAAGTTCAATATAAATGCTTATTCCTTGTGTCTCATACTTTGGGTTAAGAAGGAATGGTATTCTCAGGCCATCCACTGAACTTTCAGAATGTGGACATTAAGGTAGCTTTTCCACATTCCAATTTAACACTGCTTGGCCACCACAACATAGTGCCTCCGTGTGAATTATTTAAAAATTCACAAGAAGCTCTTTAAATATCAGGCCACTTGCCTTTCAGGTTCAAAACTGTCCACACAACTGGCAGCAGCTCTCCAGGGCTTCTCCAGATTTTTTTTTAATCCTACCTAGAGATGACATACATTGAATGCAGGCTCTTTAGCAAGCAAATCATTCACTATAGTTTACTAAATCTAACCAAAATCAGCAGGAGTTTTAAATGCAGCCCACAGCTTGGTAAAATAAATCAAGCATATTCTCTGAAGGGCCGGGGTTTGTAGTGTCTCTGTTTACAGGATCAGATGACAAGCAGTTCCTTCTTACACATGGCAAGCAACAGCAGCTGCCCTGCCATCTGTCCTATTGTTTCTGAAAGAGAAAAGCCCATTTAGCTATAATGGCTAATAGCTGTTGATTGGCCTCTCTTCTGTGAATATAGGCGGGCCTATCATAAAGCCATGGAAGTTAGTGTTCTTTTTCTTTTAGATAACTTTATTAGGATTTTAAATAAGAAAAAGTAATCGAAAGTAATATTTAGGAAAAAAGAAAAGAAAGGGAGGGAGGGAGGGAGGGAGGGAGGAAGGAAGGAAGGAAGGAAGGAAGGATTTTCTTATACAGCAATTATATGTGTTAATCTCTTATTCTATGGTTGCAGAATAAATTTCATTATTTTTCTATAATTTTTTCTAATTTTTTTTCTAATCATAAAAACCTTATATCATAAATTTATTTATTTCTGTTTCATGCAAAAAATCCATAAGGAGTTTCCAGTCAGCATTAAACACAATGTTGTTTCTGTAATCAAAGATGTCATTTTGGCCATCTCAGCAATTTCCATCATCTTCACTAACCATTCCTCCAGTGTGGGTAAAGACAAAAGTCTTTCCACCTTTGTACATCATAATCATACTGCAGTTATTATATACAAAAACAAAGTTACAACTATTTGTCCATGAATTCCAAAAAAGCACTTCAGGTTATTTATCTTCTGATTCAATGTATGTAGCTTTTTTATGGTAAAATGTATCTTCTTGTTGTGCACATTTCCAACATAAATCCAAAGTACCTTTATACATTATATACAATTTTTCTGGTTACATATTCTAACATATAGTTATAAAATTATAATTTTATAAAAAAATCTAAGATTATAAATCTCAGAATGTAAGAAATCTCAGTTCTCAGTTCTCTCATCCACATATTCTCCCATTCTCCCATTTGTTTATTGTAACTAAATTTTAACCCATTTTTATCATATACTCTTTCACTTGATTCCTTGGGTCTAACACTTTCTCTACATCTGAAATAATGCGGCTTGTTTTTCATTATGCTGTTCCAACCATTCTAGAATGTCCATCACAATTCTGATATTGTCTTTTAACTGTCTTGTAGGTAAGAACCCATGTTGAGCTTCAAGAGCAAATTCTTGCAAAATTAATTTAGTCTATTGACTATGATCATTTTGAACAATTTATAATAAATAATGATATTGGTTAATAATTTCTTGTTAAAGTGAAATATTGTCCCTCTTTAGGTATTAGTATTATATTAGCCTCTTTCCAAGTCTCTGGTATCTTTCCTCCATGTAAAAAATGCATCATATTTTGCAAAGATTGTAAAAGTTCATTCTCAAAACATTTATAATAAGAACCTGATAATCCATCTGGTCCTGGTAATTTTCCTGGTTTAATCTTTTTTAAAAATATAAATTTGGAAACTTCCTTAATATGGGTCCATTCATAACCTGTCTTTGTTTTTCTGTAATCCTTGGTAGATATTTTTTTAAATATTCATATATTTTTCTCCAAAGAGATATCATGTCTTTTATACAGATTAGAATAGTACTGGTAAAATATCTTTTGTTTAGCTACATTATCTGCTAATACTGTGTCTCCATCTTGAAGTCCTTATGCATTTTCTTTTCTTTTTCCTTTCTTAGTTTATATGCTAGCCATTTCCCTGGTTTATTTGCGAATTCTATTTTTTTTTACATTGTTCATTTTTATTTCCATTTCTTTTACTGTTAGCATTGATAGCTGTTGCTGTAAAAGTTTAATTTGATGAGAAATATTCAATTTTTCTGATGATTTTTTAAAAATCCTTCACTTCTTTTTATCTCATCCCAAATAGTCTGTGTTTTCTCTAACAATCTTCCCCCCAACCCACAACAGGAATTCCATCCATCTATTATTTTCCTTCCTTTTTTTTTGTCAGACCATGTCAGTCAATTTCATTGGGTGGTCCTGAGTTTTACTGGAATAACACTGACAGATGATTCTGTCATCTGTTTTGAATACTATTAACCGCTTTAGTATTTGAAAGCCTGGCTCTGCTATGAATGAATGAGTGAACAAATGTTATTATTTGTGTTCTTCGCAGATCCCAGATTTCATCCAATATATTCCAGAATGATTCTTGAAGCATATAAAAACAGTCTGTGCCAACTGAAACTCCATATAATCCAGGGGTTTTCAAACTGAATCCTCTGGATATTCACAATATTCACAAACAATTTAGGGTTACAAGTGTCATAAAACCATCTGCCAATTATAGCGGGTTTTATTTACTCTTTATACTGTAGCTTTAGTTTTAGTTGGGAGGGTTATGGAATTGCAAAGTTTAAGAACCCTTGGCTTAATGTCTTTATGAACAACATTCAGTTACAACAGCCGCCTAACTATTTGGTTATGGGATGTACCAGTCAAACAATAGTGTTTATTACAGTACAGCACTGGTTCTGATCAGATTTCCTGGTTTAAATTAAATTCAGTCGCTAATAAATGTAGCTCAGGGTTGAACCATTAAGTCCTTGGTGCACTCTGAGTTTGTTTGTTTGCTTGCAGATGTTTCATTACCTGACTAAGTAGCATTACCTGCTAGTGAGTGGCATCAATGTTTATTGTATATAAACAGGGAACAGTTGTTCCCTGTTTATATACAATAATTTGCCCTTCCAGTGTTGGTAGAGTTGTGGTATTGTTTTCTGCTTGATTGTCCAAAAATGCCAGGAAAATCCTGGAAACTTAGCATTCAGACAAATCAGTCATCAATAGAGACATATTTTAAGCAAAAAAGCTAAAAGGAAATAAAAAGACCAGAATACATCTTCTCCAGCAACCAACATTCAGATAAGCCACAATTAATACCAATCAATCAAGCAGAAAACAATAGTCTATGGAACTATCAAGGAGAAAACCGCACCCCTATCAACACTGGCAATGGCAAGCTATTTTATATAAACAAGGAATAAACTCCACACTCGCTAGCACTGGTGAGGTTACCTAGTCAATCAGAATAGAGCTGGAAGTGACTTTGGAGGTCTTTTAGTGCAACCCCCTGCTCAAGCAGGAGACCTTATAACATTTCAGAAAGTGTCTCTCCAATCTCTTCTTAAAAACCTCCAGTAATGAAGCACCCACAACTTCTGAAGGCAAGCTTTTCCATTGGTTAATTGTTCCCATTGTTAGACTGTTTCTCCTTAATTCCAGATTGCTTCTCTCGTTGATTAATTTCTATCCATTGTTTCTTGTCTTGCCTTCTGGTGCTTTGGCAAATAAGTTGGCCCCCCTCTTCTTTGTGGCAGCCCCTCAAATACTGGAATACTGCTATCATGTCACCCCAATCCTTCTTTTCTCTAAACTAGCCATGCTCAATTCCTGCAGCTGTTTTTGGTCTCCAGGACTTTAATCATCTTAGTTGCTCTTCTTAATTGCTCTTAGTCATGTAATGAAACATCTTCAAACAAACAAACAAGTTCACAGTGCACCAAGAACTTCACAGTTCAATCCTGATCTTACATATATTCTTTTCTGTTGAAAATTATTTTGCCTCTTCTCACTTCTGTTTTAGAGGGCTATTCTGACCCTTATTTAATTGTAACAATGCAATCCTATACTCACTTAGCTGGGGGAGTAAAAATCAGTAGGCTTAATTGTAAATAAAAAAGCGAAGGACTGCACTGTAAGTTAACTTTTCAGGATTAACTGCAGTTTGCCACAACATCCAGATGTCTAGCATTTTTGCACTTACTGATTTCCTTATGTGCACCAGAGCAGTTCTGCAAAGACTATATATAAATTCAGATCTTTTAAAAAATGCCTTGCTGCTTTTTATATTGCTTTCAACTACAAGGAAAAAATGAAATCCCCAAAACATGTTAATGCATATTAAACAAAGCAAAATATAAAAACCCTAACCAAACTGCCAAAGTAACATGAGAAAAAAAGCAAAAATAATGAGACGTGAAAAATTTACATGATCTAAACAATAAATGAATACTGAGAATCCCAAATTGCATTACTAAATACAGATATAATGCTTACTTCTACTGTATATAAAAATTGATATCATTATTTTTAAACAAGTTCAACCACAAACACATGGAATCGCATTGTCCAGGACAAAGTTAAATTGATATACTTTTAATACAACATCACATTCAAGTTTGGACAGCAAATCAGTGCCAAAATCACATTCATTGCTTCTCTTGGTAAAAGCACCATCCACAAAGTATCAGATAGCAGTTTTCGATTGAATCATATTGAAATGAAAACACTGCAAATATGTGTACAGATTCTGTGAGTGGAAAGGAGAAAATACAAGTAAACTGAAGGAATAAATATCTCCACTGCAGATAACCTGCAACTCTGAACTCTGGAGAGAGCTTACCTAAGAAACGAAGGAATGAGAGCCATATTATTAGATAGAATGAGACAACTGTCTTAGGCTCTTGAGCTCAGGTGTTAAGAAATAGGGTAGCAAATTGTTCACTTATTACTGTTATAAATTTATTGTCAGGAAAACAAGAAGCATTTGTGAGA